ATTTTTTGTTTATCTTCAAATTGCTAAGAAAAATCACTTTTGAACGTTTGCAGGACACCAGGAGGTTCGTCTGGTGGCGAATGTGTGTTGTGCGCAGCAGGTGGAACTGTATTCGGGATAGGAACTGATTTGGCGGGTAGTCTTAGAATCCCTGCTGCTATGTGTGGATTGGTGACCCTGAAACCTACAGAGTGTGAGACGAATTTTGCAAATGTTTGGAATTTTTTTTCACCTTAGTAATCAAAACCTGAGATTCTTTTAACCATAGATAACTAAACTACTTCTCTTTAAAAATAAAAAACATTGGAGAACTTCCTTCATTTTAGCACGCTTCGTGATAAGAGAGTCTTTCACAGGATTACCTGGGCGAGGTCGAATGGGGTTCTCTTGTGGTTATTTTACTCGAACAGTCAAGGAACAAAAACTTCTCTTAAAATATACATATGGCAATGAAAACTATATAAAAGAAATACCCCAAATGGTTCCCCTCCCGTTAAACGAAAAGCAAATCGGCATTGTTAAAGGCAGGAAGTTACGCATTGGTTACTACATCGATGATGGCTTTCTGGTTCCAATTCCAGCGTAAATGATTCCGCAACTTTAGCAAAGTGGTCCTGAGTAACTCGACTTTTCCCATCCACGTTTCAACATTTTAGGTGTTCTCGTGCTGTGTCTGAGACGATTGAGGCTTTGGAAAACATGGGACATGAAACTGTGCTTTTTGAAATCCCGAATATGGACAGAGCTTCAGCACTGTTTTTCAAAAATATTATGCCCGATCGTGGAGCTTTCTGCAATTATCTCTTCAGTAACGAACCGCTCTCCCCTTTCATAAGGCTGTTCGCACTTATGTTAAAGGTTGAAAAAATTCCACCTTACTGCAAACTAAGACCTAGTGCTAATATTCACTTTGATTCAGGTTCCTGTTTGCATTCGTTGGTTTGCGGGTTGGATTCTCAAAATGATAAGTCCACAGATGTCCACGGTTTGCTCATCGTATGTAAAGGATCTTTCAGACCTCCGTAGAACTCAGGAAATGACTGATGATTTTAGAGCTGAGGTTCTCGTCTTTTCTTAGTTTGAATGTCCTGATTTGTTCCTGGAATTGAAGCGCCTCATACTTTTCAAATGACAACTCATTTCCTCTTGTAAACCATTACCTTTTTTCGTGAAAATAGTGCATATTTTACAGCTACTTTACACCTACGCTTTTACCATTTTTCCTCACAGAAAGGGACCCATATTAAAAAACACCAAATTTTTTAGTTTACGAAACAGTGGCTGACGACAAAGCTTGATGTTCTAATTTGTCCTGCATTTCCAGGTTAGTGAAGGACATTTTACCAACTTTATTAATTTCCTTAAGGTGGGTTGGATGATTTTTTGCAAATTGAATTTTTGACCTTTTCTCATGCATCACGTGGGAGACAGTTGTTGGTTTGCTTAGGAATAGTAATCATCGTCAAGTTTAGACAGCCTTTCATTTTTTAATCGCCTTCTCTTTTCTAGTACCTGCAGTACCACATAAATATCCCTCCAGAATGACATTTTGCGCCTTTGCTACTGGTCTATACAATATGTTGGATTTCCCAAGTGCTGTCGTACCTACCGGGTTTGTCACTAAAGAAGATGATGACAAGCTGAATGATGAGTCTCAGTGGCCAGTCGGTACGTTGATAAAGAGAACTTCTTTCATATCGGCACTGATATTTTTCACTTATGATGAGTTGACTACAGGTGGCAATATAGCCCTGAAAGTTATGCGGGAAGCAGCTAACAAATCCGCCGGCCTTCCTTTGGCGGTGCAAATTGTGGCATTACCATTCCATGAAGAAGACTGTTTGGCAGTAATGGAAATAGTTGAGGAGCTGTGGGAAAAAAGAAATCTCGCTAGGAAGGGAAGCTTCAGTAAACTCAATTTAGCTCAGTTGCCATAGTATAAAAGAATCAGCGAAAGATTGTTAAACAAATCTTCCTATTTTCCTTCTTTCCGATTTTAATAAATCTGTGCTTCCAGGGCTAAGTACATAGATAAAAACTCACTGGCCTTGCCGGATTTCACTTTGCAACCTTAACCAGTCTCAGGATTTCAAAATCCACTTGAGGTTACAAATACTTGCTTTAAAAGCCTGCGGTACTTCCCTTGCGAGAAAATGAACGAGAAGAAATATTAGCTTGTCTAAGACTATCAGAAACAACCCAGTTTGTGTTCGCTGGTAGAGCAACTTGCACCACCACAGTACCCTACAATAATTATTAAACACTGAAGAACACTTCCATTAGAAACCCAAGAAATGACAAAGCAGGCTTTTATATAGTTTCCAGAACAGAAGACGTGTTGGAGGAAATGAAAACAGCACTCTGTAATAGGTGACTATTTTAGTAGATTGATACTTTATTATAACAACGGCCAGCCATTGACAAAGTATTGAACATTATATACACCAGCAATCAATTTTGGAGAGAAAAAAGTCTACAAAATATGGCAAGAACAATCTGGCACTTGTAAGGCAATACAAAGGTGCATTTTGCGGGCTATGACGTACCCCGTAACACGTGAAAAACCCATAATTCTCAATATAATGGCAGCAGTCGATATGAAAGACTCAATTATTCCGAACAAAATATCTCAAGTTATATTCTGAAATCTGGTAAAACACTGTCACCAACTTTCTGCGACTTTCAGGATTTACAACAGTGCAGTAGGGTAGAACAAAGTAAGCTCACCTGCATAAGTGTCATTATTCAAAAAAGTAAGTATTAGTTCTCGCAGCTAAGACTTTAGTGCTTCAAATTCTTTAGAACTCTTGCACGGACGAATTGTTGGCTTTGGGCACTCCAGCTTGTATCCGTAAATTTCGCACCATCCAAGTGGTAATATATCATTTGATCTGTACAACAAACTGATAAATAATCACTGGATGGGTTTTCATTAAAAAAATATTACCTGAATTCAAACAACTGGTTGAATGAGCTATCCCATCCGTCGTAACTAATTTCGAGAAGCCTACCTCGATGACAGGCTATGGATGCTGGGCAAATGAGCTGTGTGTCACACATATCACAAGCTTCCAACTTCGCTCCTATCTGTAAATCTTATGCAAATTAGCTACGGGGCCAGTAAATTATACGGTAGTTTATCACTACTGATGCGTATAAGGCGTCTAGAAAACTAGTGCAGACTCGTCAAAGCCAGTATTGTCCAAAAA